GAAAGTTTTTTTTTTGAGAAGTAGGAGAAATAACATTCATGCGTATGTACGTGATGATCTAGTCGAATAATAATCATCTTACGTCACCGAATAGCTTTAGTAATAGATTCATGACTTGTGAATAGTCCAAGAAATTTCCTATATATATTTTGAATGCTTCTTCTTTTTTTTTGCCTGCCTGTTGTCATAATACCTAGTCTATTTGAGGCTTTACGTCTTCTTCTTTTTACGGTGACTGAATGGAGGCTTTTGCTTTTATGATTTTTTATAGAGCAAGAGACAATTTTTTTTCCTTCTATATTCAGTGATTAATATCCAAACATGAATGTATACTTGTGGTCTCCGTTGTCCACAGCACACAGCAACGACGACGACAAAAAAAGAAGGCTTGATCGATATTAACGATCAAGTTTTGCAAAGCCACAATGGAAAGAGAATTTTTTTAAGTCATGGATATCCATTGTGTGATAATGTCCATAAATATTTTTCATATTTATATTAATTGTGCCTCATATGCATAATCGCTTTTATTCCAATCTTCTTTTTATTTGAGTTTAGTTCAATTGATCAATTAGCTAATTAGCGTTTTGACCACCAAATAATATTATGAACATCTCAATACCGAGACCACAAAAGAAGGCACAGAGTGAATGAAAACTCATTGCATTATCTCACACATTTGGTTGTGGCTATTGTTTAAAGTCGCGCGCGTTCATGTCACATTCTTCGTCAGTCGTAGTAATTTTTTTTTCTTTTCTTCTCTTTTCAACAACAAAGGCAGTCAACATGCTTTGACCTGGATTTTTGTGTTTTTTTGAAAATGAAAATGAGAAAAAAATAAGCAAAAGCACCTCGAACTGTATGCATTATAAAGTTGAGCGACGAGAAGCTATTTAATTTTTGCGCTATTTTCTTCGTTCCCGCACGGTTTTAGAAATTAATAATGGTTTAAAGTAAGGGGGTGTGGAGTGGATAGAGCGCATTTGGGTTTGAAAAAATATTTGAATTTTATGGAATTGGGGTCAAATTTTAATATGCTGGATTTGTAATATTTTTGAATTAGAGATTTATTTGACCATATCAATGGCACGTTAGCTCATCTAGTGGGGATCAAAGTAACATCCAAAGACTCTTCTACTCTGAATCAGTTGCTATAGACACTGCTCATCCTCATTATAACAAATATTCACGAATATTTGACCCCTTTTCATGAATTCAAATCCAAGCCTAGTCCAAAATGTCACTAAATCCCCATTTTATACATCAAAAGATGCTCAACACAGAAAAAAAAGTCAAGAGAGAATGAAAAATTACTAATAAATTTTTAATTTATTAACCGCATTACTTACAGTGTACCTTACTTTATAATATTTTTTATATTAATTACATAACCAATGTTGTTGTTTATGTCTATTTTGTTGAAAAATTGAATAAATATCGACTGCTTGCTTATGTTTGTGTTTAGCCATTCAAAAAAAGTTTGATTCTTTTATTCTGTTATGTATCTTTTTTCATGCTTACTGCGGGAGTTTAATAGCATAAGCTTAACAATACATCAAGTAACTGAGATATACTTACATTCAATTTAAAAGCTTCCGATGAATATGATTTATACAACACTGTAAAGTACTCAGTACGTGACTATTCATTTTCTACTTCCATTATATATGTGTTTGCCAAAATATTTGGGTTAGTTTTGCACTAAAGCTTATTTGAATAGCTTGGCTGGGTTGAGGGTGATTTACTGGTAATGTTCATCATGATGCTGAATCGCTAGATTTCCAGAACTTTCAAGTGTAAGCATCTGGGGCTCTTCTAGGTACTCTACTTCGGTAACAATTAGTTTTTATCTAAACCTCTCGATTCGAGAGCAGGATACCTCAGAAAGTCCAGCTCTTGGCTATACCCTTAAGCCTATAAAGTGCTCCACATCACCATTGAACGACCCCCTAAATACTTTTCCGTTTTCAATTCACAAGTCATTATGAAACGGTCTGTAGAAAAGATTATCTCACTTCAAGCTTCCTTTCAATAATTGTTCCGTTAGCGAGACTTTATTGCTTCTTAAGCTTCTCGATCCTCCAAACCGTACACACGATCATTAACGCAATAATCGATAATTCATTAATGTTTGCCGAAAATCCTCTATGAAGTGTGAAGTTTCATAAATCTATTAAAAATTCTGTAAAGAATTGATTTTAAAGCATTTTGTTCCTGTAACGATGGAAGCAGTGCGATGATGAATTCATCACAGATGATGAAACCTTTAAAATACAGATTAAAAATGAGATTTTATGGCAACTTAATTTTATTTCCAATCAGGGTTGTTGGCAAAGAGCGCGAGCTCGTGTTGCTTCATAGACAGTAAATGAATTCATGAAATATTGCAGCATCTTAATGAGAAGCAGATCTGATTTTAAATGAGGTGATAATTTATAGCAGATTTTTGAAGAAAAAGAAAAATGTTTATGGTTGATGTCATATAGAAACCTGGGAGGTTTGGGGTCAAATAACTACTGTGACGGATTTAAGTGCGAAGCCATAGGAAAGTTTTCTGGGGTCAATACCCCAAACTAGCCCTTTTGGATTCCCCTAAGCATAATACACTTCACCCCTGCGTAGATGCATTAGATCTGACGATGTAGTTTTTTGAGATATGCAAATTTTGGTCAATATTCTCACTGCACGTGAAGAGAAACAATTTTGATGTAGACATTTGAAACGCAAGCTTGACAGGATATTGGGACAATAAAAATCAATCTTGTGTGCATTAAAAAATGGTGAATTTTGGACAGAAGAGTCATTTAAAACAATAATGTTAAAAATGTCTGATTACCAAAATCTATCAAAATTAATGATGACTTTAAATCACTCCGATCAAGCAATATTTGAGACTCATCACCTCTGCCACAATCGATCACCAACATAATCGTAAACTAAATTTGCCTACATCATATTTCTATTTATAACTCTATTCTTATTATTTTGACTTAAAGACTTAACCTTCATGCTTAATTTAATAAAAAACATTGAATTTGACCTTCGTAGAAAGTGAAAATGATGACTTTATATTATTTTATATCCTCAACGTGTACACGAGATTAAAAAATAATAAAAATAAATTCAATTGCTTTATTTTGGCTGTCATTATTTCATTCATATTGCAAAAAAAAAGTTCATTTCAACTTGTGGGTAGGATACTATAAATGTATCCGGATTTTTTTACGATGACTCATGACTTGAAAATATTTGAAGCACATGCTTTGGGTTTTATTAATTTTCATTATACTATGTGTAACAAAATGTTTTAGTTTGGAATGAATTCACGTACGTAATTGTATGTGGATTGATGCGTGCAAAATTTTTTAAATTAAATATTTGGACAGTAAAATTAGTTTTCTTTAATCACTTGAGTGATTGTCCATAAAATTGGCATAGTTTTCTCTCATTTTTAGAGATCAATTGGCTTCTGAACCTTGACAAAATGGCACCGTTGCCTCAAGAAATTGAAATTCGATACCTAGATTACATCGATTCCAGCAGCAGTTCAAAACCCCATCAAGATCACTTTTGATGTCTTTGAAATTAATATAGTTCTTAAATAAACAGCTTAAAGCAGTTAGCAACAGGTTAAAGGCCTTATGAAGTTCAACAAGGCCTAATAAGTTTAACAATAGCTAATGAGACTTAATGAGCACATTTCACTTAATATTTCATTCGGAGTTTGTAGAAACTTTTCTTGGGTCAAAAGTCTAGTTAAGAATGTGATTTAAGATGCGAGATGTGATTTATGGACTTTACAGTTAAGTCATGACAAAAATTTGTTGAGTTTTTGACAAAAAAAAAATGTCAAGACTTGGAAATTCATCAAATTTTAAAAAGAGATTTATGCATCATGTGTAAGCACAAAAAATATTAAAAGTCATTACTTTCAAGAATTTGTTTTGTTGTTCTTCAATTTCATCATGATTGAAACTTTATTGTGGTCAGGAGCCTCTATAAGATGAGAACTACTTCCTGGTGCTATTAATTCTAGAACTTTATTTATTCTTGAAGATTTAAGATCGAATAAATTTTGAATTGAAGTTTTAGTTGCGTGAAGTAAAAAGATGATTAGTTTTTAAAAATATTGCTCAGTGCTGTAAGTACAGAAAAAAATACTATAAAATACCAATTGAGTGAGTAAAGTAAGGTGAGATACCTGAAGAGCAAGTATATAAGCAAGTCACTTTTTCAGCAGATGTTCTTAGTTAATTGATTTTCTTGGGAACATATTATGTGTAATAATTGGTTTGTATGGTCACATCTATTGTTATAGCTAAGATAAATGCTAAGTTCTTAACTAGAATCTATAAAATAAATAAATTAACTTTGAACTTGTAATGACTAAACAAGAATAATAGTAATCTAGGAAGCAATTGAGTGAATAGGAATCGAACACACGACTCATCTTTTCAGCCTGTCGCTTATTCAATTGACTACTAAGGCCTTACTACAATATTTGAAGATTCGTCTACATAAAGCACAGATTTCACTTTGCAATACCACACAAATTTCAAAACGGCACACAAAACCATTGAGAATCTTTCCACATGTCGGAGAGATTCCTGTAAGATTCCACGTACGAATTATCAAGAATGCAAATATTTGAATGATTAAAACCACTGAGCAAAAAAATTAATACAAACATAATAATCCATTTAAACCACATTGAACAATTATCCAATCAGTTTTATGCAATCTTTTCTTCTCTTTTCTTTATTTCTAGGTGATTTGTGGTGGAATACTTGAATATATGTTGTGTAATAAATCGTTTAATAGATGAAATTGCTTAGTTCCAATCAATTGAGAGTTAAAGAATCCATAAACAACAACTCTATAAAGATAATAAGAAAAGAAAGATGAAAAAAATAAAATAATGAAAATATTTCATAAATAAGATATAAAAAAAATTATAAAAAATATCAAATAAATATAAATATTCAAAAGATAACTCAACTATGGGGTCGTCATTCACAATGTGGACGAAACTCAAATGGAAATGGATTTTAATAATTGTCATAGTACAATTTATCGACTTAACTGTTAATGGTGAGTAAATTTAAAAAGCCTTTTAACTGATTTATGTAAAAAATTTAACTTACAAACTATCTCCGCAAACATGTCTGAATGAGAGAATAAATCCATTAATAATTTTCTCCATTTATTTCGTTTGCACGCTGCTTCAGGTGCTGTTTCGAAATAACCGCAGCTTCATTTCTTGAGAAATTTTTTCTTGCATTCCTTTCACTCCTTCAGAAGTTCTCTCTTGCGATTTATCTAAGCGAAGGTTCGTAGGAATTCTTGAGATTGCTGTTAAAATTTATCTGACTATGTCGTTGAGTTCTAGAGTGTCTTTAGTAAAATAATTCAATTAATATAAGATGTACAAAACAAGCTGATTATCTTTTACGGTTATATGGTTAATTTTGTAACTGAGTTATGCGAAAATTGTCACTAGAATGGAGTTATAAATATAGGATTAGAATGTAGAGTCAAGGAATATGTGGAAAGGAGTTTTATTAATTCCTAGAATTCATTACGTGACTATCGATTATAATAAGTATAATATAGTGTTAAATGAAACCAATAAAAGATGCAGCAACTATCTTCCTTGCTGCCCTTGAGAAATCAATAGTTTTTGTTAAGAATCTCACATTTGCTACCTCTAACATGAATTTAAATCTTGACTAAAAGTGAAGAATCAAAAACTTTACTATTTAAAACACTAATATCATTCCAATAATGTTTAATTAGCTGTGTAATCAAAAACTCATAGTTCAAAAAACATAGATTCGATTCAAAACATATTGATCCGATTCAAAACATATTGATCCGGTTCAAAACATATTGATCCGGTTCAAAAACTATTAATCTAGTTCACAACTCATTAATCTGGTTTAAAATTTATTTATTCAATCTAAAACTTATTGATCCGGTTCAAAAACTATTAATTCGATTCCAAACTCATAAATCTAGTTCAAACTTTCTGTTCTAAAGTTTTGAGGCCTTTGGCACAGAATCTGCCTCCTTTGCTGGGTATTCAAGGATATACTAGCATCTGGATGACTTCCTTACGGCATCTTGCGCACACGAATTGTGACTAGGTACATTGCAGGGTACATCAGGTCTTATGACGTACTCGTTTCTTTGCAATGTGCAGAGCTTGCAAGTGGTTCGGATCCCACTATAAACTGTAGGTCTTAAGGGTGTGGTACAATAGATTATGTTCTAATTTGAATCGCAGTGCCTCCAGCTTTTCACCTCATCCAAGACCTCAACATCTGACTCAACATCTGATAGGCTGGGCCCTTCACACATTATTATTACTGTTCTGAATCAAAATTTATTTGGTCGGTTCAAACTTATTGATCCGGTTCTAAAACTATTAATCCGATTTAAAATTGATTGCTCCAGACCCAAACTCATCGTGTAAGTTCAAAAATATTAATATGGTTCATAAACTACCATGGTTCAAAACTGGATTCAGTTGAACCCCCATCGATCAAGTTCAAAACTCATTGATTAAGTTCAAAATTCCTCAGAAGAGATTCCTTTACAAATCAGAAATATCCATAACATTTACATTTTTTTCTATAAAATGAATTTAACCATCAGTGCATTACCCTTAATCACCATCACACCGCCATTATCGATAATCTTAAAGTTACATGCAGAATTAATTGAATACTTAAGCAAATTTCTGCTAATTTAGCACATACATACATAAAAGGAAGCGAAAAGAAAAAAAAATTCGCAACACCTTTAAATCACAAAAGGTAAACTCCCGCACATAGTTTCACCTCATCCAAGACCTCAACATCTGACTCATTACTTGAACAAGTAAATTATTTCAATCTCGATAAAAAACTTTTTCTTTTTCCATCCAATCATTTAAGAATATCTCTTTTCTACTCTGCCGCACAGAAAGAGTTCATGGTCGTGTTCGAATCAAGTATTATCATTACACAATAATAAGGAATAGAAGGCAAGAGAAATAATAATAAAAAGAACTAGAGAACAAGTATTTTTCCGATTGTTATTAATAAATTCTTTTCTTACATCGTTAATGTTTGTACGCCGCCCATGTGATGAGTATGTACATAATATTTGTTACATGTTCGCTTTCAGCTTCTTCTCTTGTTTTTCATTTCCAATTCTACTATTTCTTTAATGTGCGAAAAATATTTCTCTTTAATTAATAGAATTGCAATTTATGACTTTTGTCGTATGAAGCAACGTACATAGTTGAACATACATATGAGCAAGGATAAATGACCAAAGTGAACTTTTTTTTATTGTTATACATGAGACATATAACGTACGTTTATTTTAACTCAATGGCAATTTATCGAAACGATTAATTTTTGTCTTGCCGAGTCTCTCAAATCAATGCTATGCAATTGAATGTTTATGTGTTGCCGTTTTTTCGAGAACAAGCATCCGCTGAAATATTGAGAGCATAAAGGTTTATATAGGGTAGCACATTTTACATATTTAAGTATAATGGCATTAATTTTTTTATTTATCTGACGACTACTATGTATGAGATATGTTGGGGTAAGTTGGGTGGTCTAAGATGTGAAAGAAGCGCATTTTTTGAAGATTATGTGATATGGGTGGGAAGGGGGTCATGTGATAGATAGTGTTATATTAAACTTAACTTCATATAAGTTTAAATCATCCTTACAAAGTTTATTCTTCTTATTTTGGTCATCAATTAAAATCTTGATCAATAATTAATTAAATTAGTGATAATTACTTATAATAACAAACTGCTGAATTAATTCAATGGTTTTGTAAATAATTAAACATCGATCATGTTCATACCAGGTGCGTAGCTAGTGGGGATTTAGGGAACAAATCTCTCTACGTGAACAAATATTTCTTCATTTTGCTAGGGTTTTTATTTTATTTTCATAGAAACACACCCCCCCCCCTCCCCCTAAATTTTCCAAATAAAAATTTTTGTTCCCCCCTCCCTCTATTCAAATTCCTGGTCACGCCCTTAGTTCAAACAATTTAAAATAATTATTATCTCCCTTTTGCTATTCTGAATGCATGATTCAGTAAGCTTAACGATTATTAAAACGTTTAAAAACCTTTAATTGATCAAAATATCTCAGGTTAAGACCCAAGAAGCCTTTTATTTGCTATAACTATCCAAAAATTGTCTCAAACTCTCCTCAATAACTTTCTTCAAGCTTAATGGCTCACATTAAATGCTATATGGCATCACACTAGTCAATCCAATTAATTTAAAACCAACAGTGCCAAAAGTCAGAATAATTTTTAATGTCATTTCTTGTACCTTTCAATGATAAATGTCGTTTTAATTATTCTTTTAATATCCAAACAAGAATAAAATCAGGATATTAAACTTAAGTCAATAATCATAAATTTAGAGAACAGACAGTAAAAGTCTGTACTGGGATAAAACTGTAACGATTCAATACTTTATTGGGTGATTTGAAGACCCCCGTGGGGTTTAAAAAAGTAACATTTTATTGGTTTTGTGTGACTTTTATTTCGCTGGTAAGGTGCTGATTATGAAGGAACAGCTCGTAATTTTGATTAAGTTGATCGAAATTCATAGAATTAAGGATCAAGTTCTCCTTATAGAGCTGTTGATTTTGGCATAAGATTTACACGATTCAAATAGACTCATAGAAAAAAACAGGCTATGTTTTCCCTAGCACCAAGAAGCCTCAATGTTAATGATCAAACTGTCTCTAGCAAATCCCATCCACATCCCAAAAGACAGCTAAAACTGTAGCAAATAAAAGTATTAAGTAAACGAGAAGAAAAGAAAAAGTTTCATTTTTATTGAAGAAAACAAAAAAAAATCACACAATGAGGTGCTGAGATATCTTATGGCTTGCAAATTGATTGACCCAATTAAAAGACCTTCCAATTCATTTTTTGCGTTCCTTTTTCTCACTTCTTTCATACATTATTTTGCTTAATGACATTTTTTTCCTTTCTCCTTCTGTATTTCGAGCAAATCGAATATAAAGGAATGTATATATGTGGTTATTTTTTTGACTGCTTCATTATGCCTTGCTTTGTTTCTGCTATGAAATAACACACAAAATAAGATATTTTGCGTATCTGAGATTAAAAAGCATTTGATTATCATCGGCCATAGATTTATGATTCGTATATATTGTGTACATATTTGCATATGTTATAGACAATGATAAATATTTTTCAGCTTGTTTTCATGCCTCAATGCACGTTTGATTATTTGTTGATCATTTTCACAGTTTCGTACGAGCTTTTAGATCGCTTAACAATAAATTTTTTGTTTGGCTTTCTTTGCGAATAATGGTTTTGCGGGTAATGTTATCTACTGATTTGGATGTCTGATGGCTTTTGTGGATTGGGAGGTATGATTTATTTGATGATTGAGTGGTTGAAATGGAGGAGGGGTATGGGTTATAGGCGGTTTGAGTTAAATAATGGAAGAAATGTGACTTTGGTAGATATAGTCAAAGTTTTGACATTTGAATAGCATTTTACTTTCATATCTATAGCTGAATTGTTCTGTAACCGCCTATGATGTCTGAGCAGGGTGTAATTTGAGGTCTCGAATCATATGGAGGCAAATCTGTCAGTGCCAGAGTAAGGATTCTGTGACCGAGTGGCTAGGCAAGAGATTCAACCATTTTTTATGAGGACGCAGGTTCAATTCCTATCAGAGTATAGTCTCTCAATCATTAAATAGAATGACATTGATATGAAAAGGATTTGTGCAATTCACCTAATCTGGTTGTTGCGAAGCTTTAAATTCATATAATGTCCATTTCGTATAGCATTAGCGAATATAAGTATATCTAATGCTATAAAACTAATATAAGCTATAACTGTTGGAAAAAACAATTTATCTACCTTCATAAGTACATGAATCATCACAACCGAAGTTTAAAAACATTTCCACTCTTAAATAAATAAGTCCACCAATCACTTGAAGTTCTTAAAAATCCCATAAATTATTTCCTGAATCACAACAACTCATCTACACTGGACTAAGCCCCAAAAACCCAATTACT